TCAAAGAAAAAGAAAAAGAAAGCTTCCGAAAAACAAGTAGAGGTTGAAACCCCTGACGTAACTGAGGAATCTGTGTCAGAGAAAAAGAAAAAGAAAGCTTCCGAAAAACGAGTAGAGGTTGAAACCCCTGACATATCTGAGGAACCTGTTTCGGAAAAAAAGAAAAAGAAAAAACGAGCAGAGGTTGAAACCCCAGACATAATTGAGGAATCTGTTTCAGAGAAAAAGAAAAAAAAAAAAAAGCATCCGAGAAACAAGCAGAAACTGAAACCCCTGACATAACCGAGGAATCTGTTTCAGAGAAAAAGAAAAAGAAAGCATCCGAAAAACAAGCAGAAGCTGAAACCCCTGACATAACCGAGGAATCTGTTTCAGAGAAAAAGAAAAAGAAAGCATCCAAAAAGCATGCATCGGATGTTGACATATCAGAGGAATCAAGAGACAAAACTGAAAAAAAAAAGAAACGTAAGACAGAAGCAGAGGAACATGAAAAGAAAAAACATAAAGAGGAAAAAGCTAAATCTTCTAGCAAAGAAAAGGCTGAAGAGGAAAGCGTAGAAGAACAAATCACATCTACAGCTTCCCCAGAACATTCAAAAGCAAAATCAAAGAAACGTAGGGTTACGGAGATAGAAGATGTCACAAAAGAGCAAAGTGCCGAACCACCTAAACCCGAAAAATCAAAGAAATTAAAGGTGTCCAAAGATAAATCCGTAAAAGTTGAAGAAGAGTCGAAGAAAAAAGGAAAGCAAAAAGAGGAGGAACCTGTTAAAGCAGAGTCAAGTAAGGTTGTGCAAAAATCTAAGGTAAAAAGAATTTCAGTATTTTTCGTATTGTTGAGAATCTCTTGAATATAATATAATTGATGGTTTATTTTATTTATACCGTTTTTTAGGAAAAGAAAGAAAAGAAAGATAAAGAGGAAAAAGATTCAGGAAAGAAAGTAAAAGACACAGATTCCTCAGTTACGTCAGGGGTTTCAACCTCTACTTGTTTTTCGGAAGCTTTCTTTTTCTTTTTCTTTGA